ATCCAGCATAATCATCCAAAAAGATTACGCCCAAAGCTCGTATGACTAAAAACTGAACTCAAATTGTCATATATGTTAAGAAACGTACGTAACTCTTAGTAAATGAAACATTATTTTTTTCCCAAATATTATAAGTAGACTTTATTATGCGAATGAAATAACAGACATAATATAGTGGAATAATACTTTATTAAATAAAATAACAACCGTCATCTATAAACACGATTACCTCACAAAATAAATTTCAAAATGAATAATTCCTGTGGTATCCTTCATATGAGACCAATGTAGGATTGGATGAGAAATTCAGGAACACAACTTGTAAAACAAATATCTCCTAGAGACTGAAAGAGATTGATGTAGGTAATCACGCAATGACTTATCTGTCATTTTTTAAAAGATTTCCTTTTAACTATCTAAAGTTCACTTAATAGCAATAATAAAAACCCTGGACAATCCACACAGCTGAATTATATTTGTTTATTTATTTTTAATTTTATATGTATATATTTTTCTTTATTTTGGCAACAAACAGTCGTTATGTAAAGATATAATAAACATATTATTAAAATAAACATTGAGTGCCGAAAAAGAGTGAATTTTTACATGGTGATCCCACTAGCTTAAATAAATATTAAAAGTTTTAAAAGAATGCGAAAAACTTACAACAATAAAAAAATGAATACTGCAATGATATCACACATGACAATAATAAAAAAAGGTTAAAGTATATTATCTTTTAAATACAATTTAGTCGATCTTACTAACATCACTAGCACATATATAATATTGTGAACGTTCTGCGCATATCTTTATTTTTGCTTCAAACACACCGACCATTCTCCTCACCTAGTAAATAGAACGATTGTTCCTTAAAAAGCGGCATTGAGTTTATTTAAAGCTGACTTTTTCACCATTTTCCTATGTTCTTGTGACAAGCGACCAATTCGATGTCTATTCAAAGATATTTATTATATTTAAGTGTATACAATAAGACGAAGTATTTAGCGGTGAATCTTTGCATCTTATTTGCTTCGCAATAGTAGATTTTATCATAAAGAAGCAAAATAATATATAACGTTGAAAGCGTTATTTTTAATCCTGAATAAAGAGAGTTAAACATATTGCTATCGAGAGAGGTTTTTATAGAGTTTGAATGGATTGTGTGAAAGATAATATGAGCAAAAGGTGAGTATGCTCAGAAATGACGGCTGATAGGGATCAGTGGAAGAGGATGACATACTGTGAAATAATTAAAGGCATGGCAATAATGATTTCGAATGACTAGAATAATTACATTTATAAAGGAAATCCTAAATAAAGATTGTTAAGAATAAGTTCATTTTCAAATAGATTGATGGAAGCTAAACGGTAACTGTGCGAGAAGTTAATTACTAAACTAAAACTAACTAAAACAACGTCGAATAAGATGTTGCATAACAGATTTTAAGTTACAGAAAGGACTTCGTAAAATATGTAAAATAGGATCGATTACATCAAATTTATATTAATTTAATAAATTCCTTGTTAAATGAAATAATGCAGATAAAATAAACACTAACAACTAAAACGCAACTGAACGTATTCGCAATAGACATCCATTTAAAATAAATCTAAACGGTAAGAGCACCTCAGTTTCACTTCCTACACGATAAATCCAATTAATTCGCTTAAAATTAAACCAGGAGCCAGCTATTCCACTATCAGACGTCTCACGAACAACTCCTAATTATAGAATGTCCGATCTTTATTGTTTGTTAGGCTCGACGTACATTAGATCTGCATTGCACTAATTAAATACCGCCGTGTTGGTTACCCATTAGAATGGTGATTTTGGTGTTTGCATCAGATACGAGAAGGCGACACTTCCTAGGAACGTACAGTCAGGGTGAAAATTCTGTAGGACTATTGAATATTTATTATTATAAATTAAATATTGGATTTATGAATCTATTTTTACAATTGTAATGTCGGAAAAGTATTGTTAGTTTATAGCTTTAAGGTTACAACGCGAATTTCAAGGCTTTTGTGGTTGAGGGCTCTACCTGCTTGCATGAAGGAAGACTATAGACCGAAGGGATTGATGTGTCGCGCTACCATGGCAGAATGCCTTCGTCAATGCTATGATCACAGAGACGATTTATATTATTATTAAATATGTATGTTAGTATATAAAGTATTTATAATATGGGTCATTAGTGAAATTAATAAAATAAAAATAAAACTCAACACAGTATAAAATTTATTATTTTTAAAAATTTTATAAATATATTAAGTACTGTTCAATAAAATTAATAATTGTGTAAATGAATATATTTTCAGGTTATCATACTGCACTTCGTGATGATTTATAGCAGAGGTGCGCAGGCGCATTGGCTTCCGTGTCATTATAAGACACGATACGAAGGAGCGACGTCTCTCGCTGATCACATCGGCACGCGCCTAGCCTATTGTCCGATCACACTTAACTGTGTTTGTTTATTCCTAATAGGAATAAACGTATTCGTTTATAGAAAATGTTAACTTTATCTTAATGCATTTTATTCTTAACTAGCTACTCGGCCTGATTTTGCACGAGAGTACATGTATTATATATATAAACCATCCTCTACAATCACTATATCTAATAAAAAAAAAACCGCTACAAAATCCGTTTCGTAGAAAGATTTAAGCATACATAGGGTCGGGCACACAGCGACAGTAACTTCGTTTCATACCATGTAATAAAATAATGATCATGAAATGATATAAATAACAACATGACAGACACATCTTATTGTCTTTGTACTGATAAATTAATACTTTTTTTAACGGAATTAGAAAGGCTAACCAGCTGATATTCTTGTGGTGGTAAGTGACCGTTGGCTATACTTGAATTACCATGGACATTACGTCATCACGTTATGCCCGGGTTAACTCGAACTGTAAATTCAGGTAACTTAATTAAATCACGGCAACTTGGTAATGTTACGTACAATTAAAGATACATTTTAAATGGTATTTATTTTGAGTATTATCTAAACGTAGGCAAATCAAAGGCAATATTAACGTACATAGTACGTCGATAAATGGTCTCTTAAAATTACATCTCTGATTTATCCGTTACTAGCAACCCGTCCAGTTTTCGCATGCATTACAAATCTTTGAATTTCTGGGCTTGTTCTATCTACTATCCTCTTGAATCTCTATATCTATTGTAAAAAACTGCATGAAGTTTTTTTGCGTAATTTTAAAGATATAAGTGAACGAACAGAGGCAGCCAACATATTTTATATTATAAAAAGGTAAAACGCCAAACTTCTAATAAACCTATTTTAGCTATTACACTATTTTCTACTTTATTTCTAAGTTTTTTCTTAATTTGCAAAAGTATATAAATAATAGTATTTGTAGATTTCAGACTTTATAAAGACTATTCTTTTAACACTATTATTAAATTTTAATACTTTAATCTATATAATTATAACATTGAAGTTTAATACTATTCTGCGTAATATCTCAAACCAACAGTCTATTAGTCAACTATGGGAACAAACAATCTAGGTTAGTATGGTTGTACTATAATTATATCATTGTTTATGTCCCTATCATATACAACGTGAAACTGACCCCTGTTACAAATATTAAGCAACATGCCATAATTAAATCAGTTATCGGCGTATTTGCACGCACAGTTGCTTAATGTTGCGCTAACAGTTAACAGTTCGTCAAGACGTAAGAACTTTCACTATCACACGTGCTGGCACGAATTAAGATCTAGATAAAGTTGATATTCGCTATTAAAACAGGTGAAACTGCCGTTACTGGAGTTGTAACCTTGCTCGGGGCATGCTTCGCTGATCTTGTGCTTGTTAACACTTAACCAAAGAGTGTGTATACTAAAATACAGTCAATAACGGCGAAGTAAGAATCAAATATGTGTTTACTTTACTGTGCCCAAATATTTTAATTTAAAAACATTCGCAAATAAGCTGACGACCCACTTGATGGTAAATGTTATCATATGATACCCGTGCGTTCCCATTACAGAGAACTAATATGTCATGCCTCTTATCCTGTACTTAATTCACCAACAAATATAGTGATCTATAAATCTAAAATCTAATGGTAAATCTGCACTCTACTTGCATTTGAACTTGTAAATTTTTTTCGTTCTAGATCACAAATTTCAGTTTCAGCAGGTTGACAAAACAGTTACTTAATTTTGTCATGTAATTATGAGAAGATATATGATACTAATTAAGAAGTGTCTTATGTTATCGACAAGCACATGAAGGTAACTTGAGCGTGACTGTAGCAGGTCTTAATGTAACGTAGGCTGAACAAATCTGGCTCACTCGTGATTTATATTTCACAATAGCAATTATAAAGCCGGGGGCTATTGTGAAATGACTTAAGAACCGGTGGTACTGTATTATGAAGTATTAGCAAAACTAGTTAATACAGGCGACAATTGAACAAATGGTTCAAATTAGAGGTCTTTAAAGAATTTATAACATGAAACGAGGCCGAAGTAACAGTTGAGAGTAATTTTAAAAAGACATAGATTGATTGTGTTGTACAGGAACAAGAGACAAATTTGTTAGCAGTTAAAGCTATAAATTAGATAATAAAGCAATCTGGGTCAGGCACGTGCCACAATGGTATAGTGAAATGTATTCCGCTTATTTATTATAAGGACATAATTGTAACGGATTTAGCAATATCGTTTTGTATCTAATTGACATGTATAACTGCTGCCCATAAATAACTAATGACTACTGCATTCATTCCAAAACCTAAGTTTTAACAATTATTTAGTGAGTATTATAATGGTATTCAAAATAAGTAAAATAGTGACTGTTTCAATTTATACATATTCCGCACTGACGGTAGATCTGACTTAAAAATAAGTGTTTGTATTAGACCCATATGGCATATTTTTACTCAATTTACAATCTTATAATACTACGATTATAGTTGCTTTTCAATTTAACAAAATTTGTGCATTGTGTACTCACCTCATGCCGTCAAATCCGTCATCTGATCCATTTATAGTTAACACCGGCGCACGCGCGTATGCTTTCGCCACGCGTCTATTTTTTTCAAATACAATCACCTTCGCCCAAATTTCATCATCGATCTGTGTCCATTTGTCTAGCACTTCCTGTATGTGTTCCTGTTGACAAATAAATACTCAAATTAATAATAAGTTATGTATCAACAGTCAATTACCAATAATACTAGAGTACTAATCTTACTAATGTTATAAACGTTCACGCAAAAACTACCTAATAGGTTTTAATGAAACTATAATAATTTAGCTTATACACTAGAATTAGTAAGACAGTAATAACTAAACAATTGATAGAAATATTTAACTATGTATTATATAATTTTTCTAAAATACCCAGAGCAATAATCAATTAATCCTACTCAGGAATACAAATATTTTGTATTGTGTGGGGAATTGAATCTGGCGTTATCCTATATATATATAATGATTAGGGGTTGACATAATTAATTTTTGTCTTCCATTCACCTCTCTTTCTCACTATTATCTATTATACATTTCTTTTTATGTCTTTGTCCTCTATTATTATTTATTTTTATTATTATTATACTTATTATGTGTAAGGGTAAACGAAGAAGTAATCGAAACTTATAACATCAAATGTTATTTTGAGCTCCTTATTTTGACCTTCCCAAATATCATAGAGTATCTGTTGCAAACCATTACCAAAGTTCGAGATATTAATCCTGGTGTAGCAACAGTGTAGTAATAAGATGACACTGGGCCCTGCGCAGGCGCAACCATGTTCCGCTCTAGTAATCCCTTTGTTTGAATATGATATTCAAAAGTTTTAATGTAGCTAGACCTTACAATTAGTAATATATTTAAAAATTTTTAGATATTTATCTATTTGGTGAATAATAATAATAAAAGATTCTAATTTTATAATATTAATATAAATATGTGTCTGGTTGCCTATTATTTTTCTTTATTACCTTTTCACAAAACGGTTGAACAGATTTGAAACAAATTTGATGTGTGAATTTATCTTAGACTTATAATGAGATCGGTTATAGATAGACAGACTATATTTGTTCTCTCTGAAAGCGTGTATTATTTAGTATTTATTTTAAGTGTATGTTACACTTAAAATAAGGAACTAGAACGACAATTACTTGTTATTTTATTTTTTATTCATATAGTTAAAACACTCTGAGCTTATGTGTACTCTTATGTGTTATTGTGTGTATTATTATGTGTATTTATTATCTGTTATTTAAACCACTCATTATAGAATAGATAGACTCAAAAGAAAGATTTAGGATATATAACGTCCCACTACTGAGCACGGATCTTTAAACGCGCGATAACCAATATATTCTATGTCCACGCGGACGTAGCCGCGGGCGGAAAGCTAGTATATTGTAGTCAGATACAAAAATATATCCCTAGAAAGTAAATCACTAAGCTACACAATTCTGTGACTAACATTGCTAAAATTGCAAAGACACAAAGCCAAGATTGCATTCTTATTTCTTTATAATAAAAGAGTTTCAAATATCGCGTTTTGTCTTTTTATAATACTTTAACAATAGATTAAAACGTTTCATCAACAATTTAGTAGAGGCATCGGCCTGTGTAAACACACCTCTGTTTTTGTCTACATGTAACGACAAACTAGCAATTTACTTATATAGAACCGTTCTAAATAGACCGTTACTTTTGGCAAAAAGTTTTGTAATATACGACCGCAGTTAGAAGCCATTTGGGTTGGCACATGCACTTCTGATGGATATAATGATGACAATTCAAGAAGGTGAAACTTAGTTGTGACATGTAAACAGTGAGGCGTTTATTAATTTTACATTACTGCTAATTATAATGCTTTTTTTTATAAAACAATAGACTTGATAACGGTTTTATTAAATCACTAGATAAGTAATATTTATTTTATTGAAATGGTGAACTGTCGACTGATTTGACGGCCTACCTAATGGCAAGAGGTAACTATCTACTCGTACATAAACAGAACCATAGATATGACGTCATTAAGCGAAGCCTGTGATGTCACTTTAAGATGTTATGTTTACATATACTGTAATTTTACTGCCATAACTCGCCCATAAACCGAAATGAAGCTGAAATAGACTGTATCAGTGCAGAAAACTTTTTACAATATCTACCTTGGTAAAGATAATGACATTCTCACTAGTTTTTGAAAATTTCGGCTTCATCCTTATCCTTTTTTAATTTTTAGTCCGCAATAGTTTCATTATGATTACTACATGGATGCAGGGAAGGAGTTGCAGATTTAATAAAAATGTATGGTAGTTAATGACGGCCTATGTATATGCTGTAATAAGTAAACATTTGTATCATTTTATTTCGTTGTGTAAATAAATAAATAGTCTATTTTCAATTGGAGTCATACCTATACCTATTACATTTATACATGTAATTTATTTGATAAAGTCAATATTTATGCGTTAGATGAGTATGAGGGAAGCTAAACAAAAAACAAAATTAAAGTGAAAATTGTAGTGAGTCATTTAATACAACATAGCCAGACAGATCAGCAACTTATGCGATATAAAATCTACATATTATCTAACATAGAAACGTTGTCATTATGAAATAACAGATAAGACTATGTATATCTTATGTCTCCTACTAATATAAAAACTACAACAAAAAAGAGCCATAAAATCATTACGACACGACTTTCAAACGCTAAATTTGTCAAGAATTGATAGATAAATGAAAGAAAGAAAGAATTGATAGCAGGCAACTCAACCGCAAACGCTAAATTGGTACTCCAAATGAGGCAATTAAGTTATTCTATCAACCGTAGTATTTTAAGATACAAAAGCAGCATTATAAATGCCAATCGCTGCAAATCGGCTCAATGATCAAGCTTGACTGACTGACCAAGGCGTTTGCGAATAAATACAGAACTTCTTGAACTAACGAGCTCCATTCAGCACAAATATGGCATTCCGATCATAAATGAAGGTGGATTGTACAGATAACCTCTAGATGCTTACGTTTTTATACGTTGTTATATCAACAAAAAAACTGCGGAATTTTAAAGATTCAGCAATAGAGAAATTTTAGGATAGGGAGGTATAATAACTTCGTCAGGAATAGCAATGCTTGAATAATCCACTGGCGTCAAGTGGCGATTTGATGTTCGTATTTTTTTTCGAACTACTCTATTTCTGTTGGTGGAAGCTGGCCTTTACAGCTTTACCGAACGATAGGGGGCGAGTACAGATGGCACTCCAGACACGCGAGAGAACTTACGGAATGACTGAAGGCCTACTCCTGCCCGACTGATACGATTTTAAAAACAGATAAATTAAAATCCCGGTCTCCATATAATAAATCATAGTCGGCTAAAATAATTCCGTATTAAATCCAGCATTTGTCAGCAACATATCGCTCAGCATTTGTCCAGATATCCGTTACCGTACGCTGAAAAGTTTCAATACATCATCATGGTCGAACGCACCACGTCTGAAAGCACCGTAAGTATCGAGAGGCTACCTTAACAGAACACGATTCATTGGTATATTAGCGAAAGTGTTCGTAGTAATTTTATAAAGCAGGTCGTATGCTCGATTTTGATGTAGATAGATGATTAGGAATTGATACTGTTGTATTTGGGGAGAGAAAGTGTTACACTAATTTGCATATTGTATTGTATTGTAAGATTAATAATTATTTGAATTCTGACAAGTGTAACGTTACATTAATGGTGAAAATAATGATTATATGACATTCTTACTTGATTAATTATAATACGCGTATATTGATTTGGACATTATATTTAGATATATAAACGTACATTATTTTATGATAAAAAAGTTATTACAATGTTTGTTGATAAACTTATTGATAATTTTAACCTTTAAATTTAACCCTTTAATTCATATAGATATTTACAATGACAGCCTCAGTAATATAGCTGCTTAAAACACTCCTTATTTCAGACGGTTTCGATTTTCGCGGCTTCGATTCTCGTACAATTAAAACATTTGTAATTAAACATTAGTATGATTGTTTGTATAAGGTATATATGTATCTACAAAAATTACGCATGTAATTAAATACGTATTTATGTATTTCATCCATCCATTGTTTAGTACTTATAGTAAAGTTTTACACCGTATGGCCTATGTATATATACTAGATAGCGATGTGTGCATAGGATCAGGAGATTATTATTATTATAAGAAAATTTATTTTTTATGTAAGAATAACAACATAGTAACAACGCAATCTAATTCAAGAAATTGTTATTATTATGCAATAAATATAATCAAACTTAAAATCAAAGATGACTTAACCATATTAATAAAATAAACATAAAACAATTTCACGCATCAGCAAGTTCGCTGTCGAAAAGTGAAGTTCTCAAAAGAAATTGAAAGTCAACATATACGCTTCTCCAAATTGCTGCTAAATAACAGCAATCAAACTTACTTTCTTACGGAACGAAACCGAGAGTTGTTCGCGAGGAAGCGGAAAGTGGGAAAACGTCACGTTGCTCGTGGTTATTTCTATTATTAACGTGCATTCATGGTAGAAATAACTAGTTTGTGATATAACTGATAATGGTTTCCGTTTATGCATATTACGAATTATGAAGCTATTATTTTAAGTCGTCAGTTCTAATCGGGCTAATACAATAAAAGGAAATTGTGTATTGTTATATTTCTGATCAAAATGAAAAAAAAAACAGTTCGGGAAACGACGGTAAGTTTGGATTCAAAAGATACGGAGCGAAATGTGGACATGTCAACTATTGTGTTCACCACAGCATCGATAGTTGACAATGTCTCTGAATACCCCATTCCGGATAACAGTCGTGATGTCATTTTTTTTTGTTTATTTACTCAATAAGAAGATAATATAATAAACTCTATACGCACATTATATAAACAAGGTATTTATAATAATAATATTGTTAATAAGCTCCCGATTTTTCGATGCTCTTACGTCTACGGGTCGACCTTACAAGACGTTTGTAACCCGTCGGAATATCGGGAGCTCATTAACAATATTATCACGGTAAATATCTACCTCGTTTGATTACTACTGTGTTACGAATATTACGTTGTTTGGTATGTCATTTGTTTGTTTTTGTTGAGCGTTTTATTTAC